ATGTAGGGAGTGATGCAGCCTTAATCTTGTAGTTTTCCAAATATATATATTTATACTCTTTTCAAGTTTCTACATTTCATTAGTTTTACAATCAAACTAACATTTCAAAATTAACCCTGGATGGTTAAGTCCAGTCAAAGGCGACTATGGGGTCGCGGCACTCATCTCACTTTTAGGCCGAGGGAGCCGGTGGTTTTGTCACAGACAGCTTCCAGATTTCATGTGGCCCAGCCATGACTAAACCGCTTCTGGTGTATCAGAACACCGTGACGGAAACGAGAGGTGCACGGAAATGCCATTCACTCTTCCCGCCACCAGCAGTAACCTATTTATCTACTTATACTGGCATACTTTCAAACTGCTAGGTTTGGCAGGAGCTGGACCGAGCAACGGGAAGCTCCCCCCGTCGTGGGGAATTCGAACCACCGACCTTCTGATCGGGCAAGCCCAAGAGGCCTTCAGTGGTTTGGACCACAGTGCCACCCGCGTCCCCAATGTAAGCTGTGACTGTATTGTATGCATGTGTGTCAACAGGTGTCGTATTTTGTGGATTGCATACCTGCGCTGCACATGGAATCCTGTGTTTGCAACAATTAATGGTTTCATCGTCTCCAGGTTTCCTTTCAGGCCTGCTGCCAAAGCTGCATGAAAAACAAAAGTGTGCTTTTGCTGCTAGTGATCAGATCAAAAATTCTTTACATTTGCTGCTTCTAAGGTGTTGGACCGGATTTTTAAGATTTCTCTCTGGAGACACAAAACCCTTTATTTGTTCAGGTTCTGACTAAATGGGAGACCACCTACTTAAACACAATGTGCATCTATACTCAGATGTGTGACTATTAGCGTGGATTACACTTTAAAGGCTATTATTGTATTTCACATCTTAGGTTTTTGGCTTACATATCACCAGCGTCCCCTGCTCTCTATATTCTTGATGTTCCTTTGAGTTATTCTTCTGCTCCTTGTCCATAATACAACGTGTTTCTTTTTCTGAAGCCAGATAGTTTGCAAGTTTGTGGGTGCAATCCAATGCATGTTTCCCTGGAAATATGTCTCACTGAGTTCAATGAGGCTTACTCCCTAGGAAGTGCTTTCAAAATTGCAGCCTACCTTTCTCTGAGTGCTTTGCATATTATAAAATTCCACAGTGAGACAGAGCATATAGAAAGCAAGACAATGCCATATCCATTGTGTAATCCACCATTTATTCACTTTTTAATTAAAATGAGGTGTATAAACTCCAGCATGTTGTCTGGATATCATATATGATAGTGATATATTAAATTGCAGCCCAAAGCAACTAACCACAGAATTAAGTTGCGTATAGTGAGGGTTAAAATGGGGTTGGCTAAATTTGGATTGACATTTCAGACCAATATGATTCAAGTAAAATCAATGCAGAGAAAGGGATACCATTATGAACGTGGCCATACAACACCAGAGGGGTGCCATCTTTGTGAAATAGAGTCGAAAAGCCCTTTTACCTAACACTTTCTCTCTCTCTCTCTCATATCTATATATTTGGAGGAGAGAAGCAGAATAAGTTTGTTTATTCTGTTGTGATTGTTGTACTGGTCATGTTGTGTGGATGCCTGATTATCTCCTAAAGCACCTACTCTATTCCGAACTT